CACGTGCCCAGGTTTTGAGGATGCCTCGAGCGAGACGCTTCGAGGATGTCTCGTCTCGAGCGAAACGCCTGTTTTGCAGAGCTCGAGCGGCCTGGGCGCACCATGATGCCCAGGTGGTCCCGGGAGCCCGAACACCACGTAGTTTACTAGGGAACGTGGCCCCGGGGAGCGCGGACGCAGCGTAACTCACGAGGGAGCGCAGCCACTGGGAGCGTGGGCGCAGCGCAGTGCAGGAGGGACCGGGGCCCAAGGAGAGCGGACGCAGCCTGACTGACTAAGGAGCGTGGCCGTGGGGAGCGCGAACAGAGCATGATTCGCGAGGGGGCGCGGCCCCGGGAGCACGGACGCGGCGTTCTTCACCAGGGGTCGTGGCCCCGGGAGCGCGGACGCGGCGTACTTCATTAGGGATCGTGGCCCTGGGAGCGCGGACGCAGTGTACTTTACGATGGATCTTGGCCCTGTGGGGGCGGACACAGCGTAGTCTACTGGCGAACGTGGCCCTGGGAGCGCGGACATTAGGGAGCGCGGCCCTGGGAACGCGGGCGCAGCGTAGTTTACAAGGGATTGTGGCCCAGGGAGAGCGGACGCAATGTAATTCATGGGGGGTCGTGGGAGCGCGCACGCAGCGTAATTTATGATGGATCGTGGATTTGGGAGCGCGGACGCAGTGTAATATACGATGGATCTTGGCTTTGGGTCAGGGACGTCCCGTGGCACGTTCCCTGACGCGTGCCTTGGCACGTTTCCTGGTGCGTCGCTTGGCACGTTCCCTGGCACGTTATGTGGCGCGTCCCGTGGCGAGTCCCCTTGGCACGTCGGGCGCCGCGTCCCCTGGCGCGTCCCCTTGACACGTCCATTGACACGTCCCGCAGCGTGTCCCCTTGGCACGTCCCGCGGTGCGTCCCCATAGCATGTCCCCTGGCACGTCCCTTGGCGCGTCCTTTGGGACGTTCCGCGGCGCGTCCTCCTGGCATGCCCCCTTGTCAATTAGCCCTGGGGCAGCTACGATGTGCTCAGGCAGCTCAAGCTTAAGCTCCAGATCAGTTCGGTCAGGACTCGGATGCGAAGGAGGACTCGACCTACAACGCTATGGAGCACAATCGCGGCATGGCACATCGCAATTCAGCACGGCGCAGCGCAGACCTTGGCACAGTACATCAAGATCGATACACTCAGCATTGCAATTTGGCACGTTCCGTGGCGAGTTCCCTTGGCACGTTCCGTGTCACGTCCATTGGCACGTTCCGTAGCGCGTCCCCTTGGCACGTCCCGCGGTGCGTCCCCATGGCACGTCCCTTGGCACGTCCTTTGGCGCGTCCTTTGGCGCGTCCTTTGGGACGTTCCGCGGCGCGTCCTCCTGGCATGTCCCCCTGCTCTGGGGCAGCTACGATGAGCTCAGGCAGCTCGAGCTTAAGATCCAGATCAGTTCAGTTAGGACTCGGATGCAAAGGAGGACTCGATCAGCACAATCGCGGCATGGCACATCGCAGTTCAGCTCGGCGCAGCACAGTACATCCCTCGGCACGGTACATCAAAATCGATCCATTCAGCATCGCATTCGCCCGTCGCCCAATCATGGGTCTTTGAAAACGCTGCCATGCCTTACAGTTCTATATTCCTTTCGGGGTTCCTGTGTCGATCATGTTCCCCTGAAAGGGCTGAAGCCCAGGGCTTTTTCCCCTGAAAGGGCGCCGGCCCATGATTCTCTTTTAATTGTTTCCCCCGGCTTCGACTTGAGGTCGGCCGGCGAATTCAATATGATGTAAAACGAGGTCGAGGTGGGCCGGCGAATGAACATTTGAAGACGTCCCGATTTGAAAACGCTGCCAGGCCTTACATCTCTGTATTCATTTCCGGTTTCGTGGGTCGATCATTTTGTCCGTACCCATTTTGTGATTGTTTTTTATTCAGTGTTCTGCCGAACGGCGCCGGGTCCCAAACCCTTTCCCCCCCCCCCATGGAGTAGATCTCGGCTGTTTTCTGGCGCCTGCCTCGAGCGGGTGGAGCCCTCTCAGAGGCAGCACTCTTGCAAACAGTCGCACTCAGCAGAGGTCCGGAGCCAGACCCCCTCCCTCCCCTCCTCCCCTTTCCGCCCAATGTCGAAACGCCGAAAAAAAAAAAAGCCACGCCCATTTTTTCGGGCGTGCTAAATTCGGCGGCGAGCGAGGGGGGGAAGTGAGAAGGAGAAGGCCTTCTCAGAAGGCTCGGAAGTCCCCCGGCCTTCTGAGAAGTGTTCTGAGCCTTCCCCGAAGACAAACGAAAATTTCTCAGAGGGTGCGAGGGCTTCCGAGAAGTCCCGCCGCTTTCTGAGAAGACCTTCCCCTTCCCACTTCCCCTCCTCGCTCGCCGTCGCCGATGAATGTCGGGCCGCCGCTCGCCCACGAGTCTTGCGGAGGGGGGGGGGGGCCCGGGCCGGAGCCGGGCAGCCGTTCTCGAGGATGCCGCCAGGGGCCAGGAGTGATGGTGCCAGTCAGTTTCGTGTTACCGACCCCCATCCCCATCCCCATCCCCTTCGAGACCCCCACCAAATTACCCCCCCAGTTGGGGATACACCCCTCGAAACACCCGAAGGGAACGGCCCATATCCCCATGTAGGGGGGTAAATCGACTAGTGGGGCCCAGGCAACGCCGCTGGGGATAGGGATCGGATAAACGATGCTCAGCCAGCTCACGCGTGCTGCTGGAAGACTTCGGAAGCAACTATGGAGACTTCGGAAGCACCTGTCTTTGAGTCGGGCCTGTCCCTCCACAGGAGGAATATTGAGGACGATGCTTTGACAATGTTGTGGCTATTTTTGAACAGTTTTGTCAATTTTCATTTTTCGCCTAAAATCCGCTTGTAGGGGGACATACCCGACCTAAACCTATCTCCCGTTTCCATCGTCCCTCCTTCTTCTCGGTTTCCCTTCTGCCATATTATATCATTTCCATCCTTCCATCCTTCCTCTTCCATCCTTCCTCGCTGTCCATCTTCCATCCTGCCTCTCGGTTGTCTTTTACCTAACAGCGAAGACTGATAGGTTTCTAGTGGGGTCAAAAGAGAACATCTTGACGCCCCAGGAGGGTCTGGGCGGGATCCGGGCAAAGCCGGACAAAACCGGCAGCCCCATGAACCCTTAGGAATCCTTAGGAATTCTTAGGAATCTTCAGGAATCCATTCTCAGAACACCATTCCCAGGCCACATTTTGAATGCCCGGAGCCAATTGTAGGCCACTTCGTGTTCTTCGTGTTCCCAGAGCACGAGTCCCAGGCCACATTTTAAATGCCCAGAGCCAACTGTAGGCCACTTCGTGTTCTTCGTGTTCCCAGAACACGACGCCCAGGCCACATTTTGAATGCCCAGAGCCAACTCTAGGCCACTTCGCGTTCTTCGTGTTCCCAGAGCACCATTCCCAGGCCACATTTTGAAGGCCCGGAGCCAACTGTAGGTCACTTCGTGTTCTTCGTGTTCCCACAACACCATTCCCAGGCCACATTTTGGATGCCCGGAGCCAACTGTAGGCCACTTCGTGTTCTTCGTGTTCCCAGAACGCCATTCCTGTATCATATGTTGGTTGCCCGGAGCCAACTGTGAGGCTCAGGCTGAGGCTGAGGCAGGCTGAGACTGGGGCTGAGGCAGGCTGAGGCTGAGGCTGAGGCTGATGCAGGCTGAGGCTGAGAGGCTGACGCTGAGGCTGAGGCAGGCTGAGGCTGAAGCTGAAGCCGAGGCAGGCTGAGGCTGAGGCTGAGGCTGATGCAGGCTGAGGCTGAGAGGCTGACGCTGAGGCTGAGGCAGGCTAAGGCTGAAGCTGAAGCCGAGGCAGGCTGAGGCTGAGGCTGAGGCAAGCCGAGGCAGGCTGAGGCTGAGGCTGAAGCTGAGGCAGGCTGAGGCTGTGGCTGTGGCTGTGGCTGAGGCTGAGGCAAGCTGCGGCTGAGGCAGGCTGAGGCTGAGGCTGATGCAGGCTGAGGCTGAGGCAGGCTGAGGCTGAGGCTGAGGCTGAGGCTGAGGCTGAGGGCTGAGGCTGAGGCTGAGGCTGAGGCAGGCTGAGGCTGAGGCTGAGGCAGGCTGAGGCTGAGGCTGAAGCTGAGGCAGGCTGAGCTGAGGCTGTGGCTGAGGCTGAGGCTGAGGCAAGCTGCGGCTGAGGCTGAGGAGGCTGAGGCAGGCTGAGGCTGAGGCTGAGGCTGAGGCTGAGGCTGAGGCTGAGGCAGGCTGAGGCTGAGGAGGCTGAGGCTGAGGCTGAGGCTGAGGCTGAGCTGAGGCAGGCTGAGGCTGAGGCTGAGGCTGAGGCTGAGGCAAGCTGCGGCTGAGGCAGGCTGAGGCTGAGGCTGATGCAGGCTGAGGCTGAGGCAGGCTGAGGCTGAGGCTGAGGCAGGCTGAGGCTGAGAGGCTGAGGCAGGCTGAGGCTGAGGCTGAGGCTGAGGCCGAGGCAAGCCGAGGCAGGCTGAGGCTGCGACTGCGAGAACAGCAGAATTCTGCAACTGGATTATCACCTGAATCTTAGGGGGAATGCTTCCAGATATGCTTATACACATCGCTGTTAGATTGCTTTGCCGGGATAGTCTTCTCCAAGGTAATGTTTTAGCGTCCCTCTCCCATGTGTTTTGTCTGTCGCCGACCACGGCTTGGCTGTCAGACCTGCGCTTGTACAGTGCAAGCCCATGCCAAGAAACACCCTGCTTGCCTCCAGGGTGCCTTGGGTTTCGATGGCTTCGCTGCGGAGAGCGTGAGGTTCCCACCAAAAGTCAACCGACATCCTGGGGTCTCAGGGCTGGCTTTCTTGTAGAAGGTTTCTTGTGGCCGAGCTCCTACAGTCAACCCGCACAGTAAGGATGGGCAACGTTCCCAAGGGTCCCCTTGCATCCTCGCCCCTTCGGCCCATCCTTGGCGACTTTCTCTGGCCAGCCTCGTTCGACAAACGTTCACGTGGCCCTCCAAGGGCCTTGCATCCTGACCTTGCACCCGTGTACCCAGGGCAGGGGGTGGCTCCCCGCGGGGTCTTGCCCGCTGCGTCCGCCCGAGGTCGGGAGGCAACACCGCAGCCTCCCGCGAGCGCGGGGGGCGCCGCGAGCCCTGGAGGTGATGGAGGCGCCCAGGGAAGGGAGCGCAGCATCAATCAGGCGATCGCAAACATGGATCAAGGGGGCGTGGATTAGCGACGGGTCTCGCTTCCATGGGAAATCGCGGATTTCCGCCGCCGAACGAGGCGGCACCGGCCGCATTTTGGGGAGGGCACCTCCCCCGATCCATGGATGTGGCGACCGCGACTACAGAGGGTGCGGTTCCAGTGGAGACCCTTGCCAAGAAGCACCCTGCTTGCCTCCAGGGGGCCCTGGGTTTCCTCTCGGTTGCCCCTCTTCTATGTTCTATTATTTCCATCCTTCCATCCTTCCTCTTCCATCCTTCCTCGCTGTCCATCTTCCATCCTGCCTCTCGGTTGTCTTTCTTCTCCAAGGTGATGTCTTAGCGTCCCTCTCCCATGTGTTTTGTCTGTCGCCGACCACGGCTTGGCTGTCAGACCTGCGCTTGTACAGTGCAAGCCCATGCCAAGAAACACCCTGCTTGCCTCCAGGGTGCCTTGGGTTTCGATGGCTTCGCTGCTTGTGCTGTGGAGCGTGGCGCTCCCGCACCAGAATTAAGTCGGGCGTGTCCCCCTACAGGGGGATGTTGCGCGAAAAATTAAAAATACTCAAAAAATACACCAACATTGCCAAAAAATAGTCCAAAAATAGTCCCCGGACTATTTTTGGATTAGTTTTGGGGTATTCTTTCATTTTTCGTCGAAAATCCCCCTGTAGGGGGACACGCCCGACTTAGCACCAGAACTCAATGGACGTCCTTGGATCTCCGGGTTGGGTTTCTTGCGGGAGGCTTCTTGTGGTCGAGCGCCTACTGTACGTCAGGGTGTGGTTTGCGATCTGCGTCCAGGGGTGCGGGGGGGGGCACCATGTTGTGCCCTCGCCGGGCCTGCTCGGGGCGCGGCGGAGAGCTCTGTCGAGGTCTTCGCGGGCCACCCACGGTGTGGGTCCGTGTTCCGGAGTCTGGTCTCGTCTGCCCAGAGATTCTTTGCCCCCCCGCTCCCGACGCGAGCATCGCTTATCGAGCCATCGGAGGAACGCTGTACTAGGGCGCATCATCCATGCTGGCGAGCACTGCGCCGGATGGTGCACGCACGGCACCAGAGACATATGCTCGTCCAACAGACTGCCTCCTGGGCCTTTTTAGAAGCTCGGTGGTGCCCAGCACTCTCAAGAGGGCCTTGGGGGGAATGCGGTGCAGTCAAGACGCTGAAACAAGGATTATTTTGCCGTGAGGGAAGCGGGGCCTCCCCGTCCTCCTCCTCCTCCTCCTCCTCCTCCTCCTCCTCCTCCTCCTCCTCCTCCTCCTCATCCCCCTCCTTCTCCTCCTCTTGCACAGGGCTTCCGAGCAGGAAGGGGATGGGGAGGAGGCAATGTGAGGGAAGGAGGCTGAGCCATCAAGTCGCGACGGCATGGACGCCACTCCTCCTTTGCCTCCTCCTCTCCCGCTGTAGTTGCTTCGCCTCCTCCCTCACTCACCCCCCCCTCCCTCCCTCCCCTCCTCATGTCTCTCCCTCCCCTACCCTCCCTCCCCTCCTCATGTCTCCCCCCATCCCCTATACGGTTCTCTCCTCGTCCCAGTCCCTCCTGTTTTTGAAATTGCCTATCCGCCCTCCTCCCGTCCCCTGGATCCCCACCCTCCTTCTCAAGCCTTCTCCTCCCACGATTTCTCTCTCCCTCCCTCCCCCTTCTCCTCTCTCTCTCTCTCTCTCCATCCCTCCCGTCCTCCCTCCCGCCTCTCTCCCTCTCTCTCTCTCTCTCTCTCCATCCCTCCCGTCCTCCCTCCCGCCTCTCTCTCCCTCTCTCCCTCTCTCTCTCTCTATCTCTATCCATCTCTCTCCCTCTCTCCCTCCCTCCCGTCCTCCCTCCCGTGGGCGCCCACCCTCTCCGTCCCTCCTCTCTGGGCCCCCGTCCCCCCCCCTCCCGGGCGCCTCGCTCCGAGCACCCTCCTCGTGCTTCCTCCCCCCGCGGCGGTGGGGGGGCCGCTGCGCCCCCCCCCCCCCGGGGCCCCTGGACCAGACTCCCGGGGCGCGCGGGGGCTCGGGCTCTGGTCGGCTACGCCCAAGAGTTACCGTTCGCCGGAGGGACCTCTGGTGCGGGCCCAGTGGGGCCCCCCGATCTCCGACTGCGACGCGATGGCAGAGGCTTGCGCGCCCAGTGGTGCCCACAAAGGGCCCCCCCTTGGGCCGCGCACCGAAGGTCACTCTTGCCCAGGGTCACTCTTGCGTGTAGCCGATCTGGTCGGGAGGGGAAAAGAGCACAGAGACACAATTCATCGTCGAGTCCCTGGGAAATGTGGGAAGATATGGGAATTGCGGGGAAGACGAAGACTCAAACAAATATGGAAACACATGTGGGGCGTCGTATTGTTCGTGTGTGTTTATTTGTGTGTCCTGGGGCCCCTTCGTCTGGCCGTTGTCTCAAGGCGCTGGGAGTCCGGGGTCCCAGCGCCGCCTGGCGATGGACCGCGTGGCGACCAGCAGCAGAAGCCCATGCCAAGGAGCACCCTGCTGGCCTCCAGGGTGCCCTGGCCTTCCTGGGTTCGGATGGTCTTGCTAAGGAAAGCGTGACGTTCCCACACCAAACATCAATGGACGTCCGGGGGTCTCCGGGTTGGGTTCCTTGTGGAAGATGTCTCGTTGTCGAGTTCCTATTGTACAGTCGGGCCGCTTAAGACCCCTTTTCGTCGGGGAAGGGCTCAGTGGTCCTTGATTGTTGTACGGCTTGTCTTAGGTGCTCCCTGGGCTTCCTGTGGGACATCAAAGTTTAACCTGTGGAAAAGTGGGGCCTCGTTCCTTACCTAGGGTTCCTTATGACAGCGCTTCGACTGTAGGAACCCCCGGCGACCTCACCGCGCGATCCGTCGCCGCACGGTGTTGGGACCTCGGAGGCCCCAGTAGACGTCCTCGAGAGCAGTCACCACGCGGTGCGGCCACCGCACCGTTCAGGGCCCCCCGGTATAAGCAGTGCGGTGTTCACTCTCCTTGTTTCCCTCTGGGTCCCCATTCTCCCTTTCGTCGCCGATGGGTGCCCGATAGCCCACCCCGCCCGGGAGCGTACGGAATCGCCATCGGGGGCCTATCGCCGATCTGTCGGCGAGATGTCACCGATGCCAGGTCGATGTTACCGCCCCCCCCTTCCCGCCTCCTTCCCCGTGGAGAGGAGGAGGAGGAGGAGGAGGAGGAGGAGGGACAGGAGGGCGGTGTGGCATTGCTCGCTGTCTGGATGGCGGTCTGTCTGGCACTGCTTGCCGCCGCGCGCGTGTCTCTGCCCACGCTGAGAGCAGTTTTCTCAGACCCTGAACCCCTCGCAAAAGGAGGGGGGAGGAGGAGGGAGCTCCAGACTGGATGGGATTGGGGCGCTCTCGGTCCTCAGAGGGCCTGAAAAGGCACCGCTTTCGTTGCTGCACTCCTCTTCTCTCTTCCTCTTCCTCCTCTTCCTCCTCCTCGGGAGCAGCAGAAGTCCTGCTCAACCTCCTTGTGTTCTTCTCCCTCCCTCGGACCCAGGGAACAAAGTCTGACGCCGAGAAGGGAGGGAGAAAGGAAGGGAGGTCGCGACGCGAAGTAACATGACCTGACCGCCACCCAGGACGTCTGCTCGGGCTTCATTCGGCACATGCCCACGGATCACGAACGAGAAACAGCCGAGCCAGAAGACGCAGAACAGGCAGATCCTTGGATACAGCCAAGACGCTGAAAAACCACTTTGGGCTCAGAAGGGGCTTGAGTTTCCAGGCTGTTCCTTAGATTTGTGTCTTGAGACTTGTTTGTGGCCAGATAAGCCCCTCCGCTCCTTATGATACTCTCCTTATGGCAGCACGATGACTGCACCGCACGCGAAGCGTGAAATGGTACCAGACCCGCCTACAGCGCCTGTTTGAATAATGCTCCGCGTGCGGATCATGTATCAAACATGCAGGGATGTAGTATTAAAAACAACGATGAGTTCGTGCATAAATTCATTCATAAATTAGTCCTGTCTTAGAAATCCTATATGTTTAAACATCCCATGTATTGAAAACTGCCCTGTGTGCCCCCGGGAGGGAGGAGACAGGAGCCCCCCCCCGCTCGCGCGGCAGGCGCGGCCGCGGGCCGGGACCGGTCCGAGGCGGGCGGCAGCGAGCAGCTCTCCCAGGACGGGCGCCCCCTCCGCGGCGGCCGCGGCGGCCCCAGTGCGCGGCGCCCTCCGCGCGCGTGCGGCGCGGCGCGCCGTGGGGGGGAGCGGTTGGTCGCACAGGGAGGAGGAGGAGGAGGAGGAGGAGGAGGAGGAGGAGGAGGAGGAGGAGGAGGAGGAGAGGAGGAGGAGGAGGAGGAGGAGGAGGAGGGGAGGAGGAGGAGGAGGAGGAGGAGGAGGAGGAGAGGAGGAGATCGAGGAGATCGAGGAGGAGGGCGAGGAGGGCGAGGAGGGCGAGGAGGGCGATGAGGGCGAGGAGGAGGAGGAGGAGGAGGAGTGTTCGACGAACCCGCAGGCCGTCAGGATCCAGGAGCCAGGAGGAGGAGGCGGAGGAGGACGAGGAGGTCGAGGAGGGCAAGGGCGAGGGGGAGGAGGAGAGAAGGAGCAGCCCCCGCCAGCGTGTGGCCCCCGAGAGCCTGGGGCATGGGAATCGAGGCAAGAGAATCAGGCACTCGCAAACATGGATCAAGGGGGCGTGGATTAGGTGAGAGCCTTCTTATTCGTTGTTTTGCCGATCGGCGCGGGCCCTCGCACCCCCCCGCTCTTCCCCCCCTATGGAGTAGATCTTGGCTGTTTTTTGGGGGGACGCCTGTTTCGAGCAGGTGCAGCCTCCCCTCATAGGACCCAGTGCCGCAGACAGTCGCGCTGAGCAGAGGTCCAGAGCCAGACTCTCGACCCCCTCCCCCCTCCCCCCGCCCTTCCGCCCACTGTCGAAACGCCGAATAAGAAAACGTTGACAAACATGGATCAATGGGGGCGTGGCTTGGCGACGGGTCCCGTTTCCATCTGGAAACCGCGGATTTCCGCCGCCGAGCGAGGCGGCACCGGCCGCACTTGGGGGAGGGCACCTCCCCCGATCCATGGATTTGGCGACCGCGCGCCAAATCCATGAATCGCTAATCCATATTTGCGCGCCCCTGAGAGAAGTCACGCCGACCTCAACAAATTGGCGTTGACGAAACGGTCCTGCGCGTGCGCTGGACGGCCTGGTCTTCCTTGCTCGATGCCTTCCTTGATTTCAGTGCGTTTGCGAATTGCGTCGCTTGCCGGGGCGTATATTATCAGGGTGGTTGGTTCTGGAGGGGGGTAAGAATATCGATCTGCTCCGCCGCCAGGCGCTTCCCTCGGTACACTGGCACCTCCCGCGGGGGGCGCGGGGAACGCGTCTTACCCCCTGGCCCTGAAGATCTGTGGAGCAGCACGAGCAGCAAGGGCGTTGGAGCGCTGTGGCGCTGTGGGGTCGAAGCTTGGCGGTGCCGCGGCGGCCCGAGACGCACAGACCGCAGATGGCCGCTGCCGCGCAGCGCGAGGCCTCGGCCCCCTCCATCCCTCTCCCGGGGGAAGGGCTGCGGGGAGGGGACCCTCAGGGTCGTCATCCCCCCCACGTCTCGGGTGTTGCTAGAGATGCCCCTTGGCCCGAGGTGCCCCCAGCTTTCCGCTCCGTTCTGGAGCCCCTGGGGCCCTCTGGGCCTCGTGAGGGGTGCCCTGAAGGCCGTCTGGGCCACCCCGAGAATCCTGGGGGTTCCTTGGGCCAGGGGTACTTCTAGCAACACCCGAACGTCATCCCCTCAGGAGGGGAAAAAGCACACAGACACAGTTAACTAGTCGTCGACTCCCAGGACAATATGAGAAAAGATGGGAAGTGGGGGGGAAGACAGAAACCCAGGAAATTTGTTTGTGTATTTCTTTGTGTGTCCCAGGGCCCACTCTCTCGCGGCGGGAGGTCGGCCGCGGCTTCCTCGGTGCTCGCTGGCGGGCCCACGGCCCCACCAAAGGCCTGGACCCCACAGGTCGGCTCTGCCTTTCCTGGGGTGCGCGATGGTTTCCTGGGGTGCGCGATGGTTCGTGTCCTGGGGAATATTCTTATTTGTGTGTATTCATTTGTGTGTCCTGGGGCCCCTTCAATGGTGTGCGTCCTCGCCTCCTCGCGTCGTCTCCCCTTCCTTGTTCCCCTCGCCTCGGTGCGGGTCTGGCTGCGCGGGTCCAGCTCTCGCGCTCCGCGCGGGCATTCAAGGCTGAACGCCGCCAGTGGCCAGTGGCCCAGAGTCCGCCGACATCGAGCGGTCTGCGCTATATGGGGAAGACATGGTCGTTGCCTCGCCTCGCCTCGCCTCTCCCTCCGAGGGGGCCATGCTGGTGACCCGTGCTGCTCCAAGGCTGGCCCGCGTTCCCGTGGTATCAGATGTTCGACAGGCTATCGGCGCTCCCCCTCTCTTCTCTCCCGCCCTCCCCCTCCCCCTCCCAGCCTCTGGCCCACCGGCCCTGAAGACGCGCGTCCGAGGTGCGGCCATGCGCTACATGGTTGAATGATCCACGCGGTGCGAGAAACCCACACTTAATTACTCCTTTGATGCACTCTCCGCACTGCCCGCTGTTTCTGCTCTAACACGCTCCTGGTATACGAGTCTGATGTAATCGTGGCTACTCATATTCGAGCGTACATTGCTACATTTACAACCCACTCAGCTCACACTCTGGTATACACTTGTTCTACCCGTGTTCCATCTTACTGCAATCAAATCCCATAGTGATTCGATTCAAACATAACATCCTCTACGGCACGTTACTATCGTATCGCTTGTTTCGCACCGGTTCTGATATAGGTGCGACTTGTTTTCATCGCACGGTGCTATGAAATAGATGTTCATATACACAGTTGTACAGACATGTGTATACGTATATGCATATGCATGTGTATCTATATTTTGATAGAGATCGGTGCATGCAGATGTCCGACTCAGTAGTGCATTCGCTCATAACCGATGCGGATGTGTCATGTGGGATCATGTTTTTGTTGTACTTCAGTAAGCCGCTGCCCTTTCGTGTTCCACCCACGCTACTCTCATCGATGTTACTGCCGACTACAATCTGGTAGCACCTCTCTTATGCTACTCGACCCTTACCTCCTTGCCTGTCCCTAGTGTACCCCACTGTTCTTGTCTGAGTTGCCATACTCGTGCTCATATCCAACTTCTATCCTACTCTGCTGTACTGCACGATGCTCCTACTCTACGTAGATTCCTAGTCTACTCCAGCTAAGCACCATTCCCCAAACTCAACCACACCCATGGGGCCATTGCGACATCGACGCTAACCCGCATGAATACCAATGACAAAGTTTTACATCACCCGCACAAGCCTGTCGGAATATCCATGCGAATTAATTAATATTCTCATAGGCATTGATAAAAATACCCATAGGATTCCATGGTGGTATCCACAAGGGCCCGCTGGGCTGTTCGGAGGAACCAATTGGAAAGCCAATCGGATCTCACCGGAAGACCTGCACGTTGACGTGTTGGGAAGCACCATCCACGACCCGGTTTCCTACACCACTGTGAGAATTCCAAGGGTAAGCAAATTATGTTGAGAGGAGGCATAGAAGTCATGATTCGGATGTGCCTGTATAGGTACACAAGTCACGTGTCTTCTGGACCCATGGGTGAAGCACAGCGAATTGTGTTGTTAAAGTGTATATGTTGGTGTGTGGTGGGTTTGACTTTGGTGCTTGGGACTGTGAGTTGCTCTGGTTCAAAGCAGCAGCTTCGCGTTCATGTGCACGTGCACTAGGCTGCGGGTCACCTTGGGCTTCGTCATGAATCCATGCGGTGATGAATTCTTACCGGGTTTGTCTCTGTCTGGTCGTTTGGGGTACATGTATGTCTGCATCTACCCATGATATGTGTGTAGCTCCGCCGATCGATGTCTGCGCCGTCTGTCAGGTGGTTGCTGCAGCTCTTTCGGGACGGGCGAGAGGCGAAATGTTGCCAGATGGATGGCGTCGCCTCGGGGGCGTTATTGGTGGGAGTGGTGTCACGAGGAGGCGGATCCGGGCCGCCCACATGGGGAGGGAGTAAATGGAGTCGGAAGGTCGTATCCCATGGTTGATGCATCGGCGATGCGGCGCGGTTCCCGTCCATCAGGGCGGTCTTCAGAAAAGCAGGAGGAGGCAGGGTAACAGAACTAGGCGAGGAGGAGGGGTCTCGAGTTGGATGAATTGTCCTCTCCTCATCGCCGCCTGCCAGCAGAAGAGTGACCCGGTCGACCAGTTCGGCCAATGGAAGGCAAGTTTCAGTTCTTCAAATTAGTTTAAACAGAAACGGGCGTCAGCGCCCTGTCGCCGATGCTTCGGCCATACATCGCGATGCCGCAAGGTCTGAGATGGTGATTTGATTTCTCAGATAGGTGTTCGCATGTGTAAGGTTTGGGCGTGTTTTCCTGGCCTTGACACCCTGTCTCTCAAAGTATCGAGCAGTGTATCTGCACGATATGTTGCTTTTGTGTTGGCATATCTACGCACGGCTCGTGGTCGACATCCAAAGGTGCACATCGGCATGTGTTTTGGACATTTGCTTGCTGTCGTCCATGCCTTCGTTCCAGACCCTGCCTGTTATTTTTTGCAGTCCGATTCGCTACACCAGCATGTTGACACCCTGACTGCAGTTGGCCTCTGCCCTTCGCGTACGCACCTCGTGTTCAGAGCCCCTTGCATTCCAGCGCGTATCATATTTGCGTGCGTCTTCTTGTTGGTATGTTACTGCATTGCACAGGACTTGGATGCATTCATCGGCACTGGCGTTGCTGAGGACTTCGGCATTGAACGCCATCGCAGACCACTCCGATCCAACCCCAAAGTTGTTTCCCATCGCTCCACTCATACTCCAGAGTCTCACGCCATGTCGCCGACCCCCAGAAGAGGGGATGTGTGCGGTTTCCGATGTCGTATGTGTTGTTGGCCGTTTCCCGCCGCGCTGCTTGCATGAAGTGAACGTTGATTCGTCTTCCTCTTCTTCCGCGTCTGTTGTGGGGCCTCTTGGGGGGGCTACTGAAGGCCTTCGGGACGCCGTCTTGGAGCCTGTTTAGGACTCCCAGGGGCTTTGGGGGGGCCCTTCGAGATCTTCTCGGAAGCCTCTCGGTGGCATGTTGGTGGGGTTGTGGGCCATCTTGTGGGAGAGGGCTCACTCTTGAGGGTCTCTTGGCTTGTGTTGGGGGCCCCCATGGGCCGACGTAGGGCGCTTTGGGGCAGTCTCTGAGCCCTCTTTGAGGCACCTTGGACGGGTCTGGGGTGCCTTTCGGGCCGTCCTAGATTTTCAGAGGCCAGAAGCCAGAAAAATTGAGAATCTAAAGACCAGGTTAAAAAGCATACCAGGAATCAACGATGTGTGCCTCTTGGAGCCATCTTGGTGGTTCCTTTGGGGCTCCAGTTTGGGCGTCTTGAGGGCGTTGTTGTTTCTTGGGACCATCTTTGAAAGTTCTCGCTTCCTCTCCTGCATGTTGTTTTGGAGCACTTCTGGAGCCATTTGTTGGCAGGCATCTCGGGCATCCTGGCGGCCACGGAGGGTAGACTTGGAGGCTCCGAGGGCCCCAGAGGTGTGTTGAGGAGCTCGAGCACCTTCTCCCTATTCTCGGAGGTTGATGGACCTCCTACCCTGACACGTCGATTAGCGAATCGGCCGTCTTCGGTTCGCGAGAGGGCGTCGCGGCCGTCATTTTCGCGGGTCCAGGTCCGTCGGTTTCGGTCTTAGGCCGTTTTCACTAAAGGGTGGTTTACTAAAGGGAGGTTTGTCCACCGCCGATACTCGGGGATTCGTGGCCCAGGGACAGGAGAGATGGGGGAGGGGGACAGCCAGATGTCTCACGCGCCTTTTCACCCCCGTCAAGTGGGGGTCGGCAAATTCTTGCATGCTTCCGTCTTGGCTCAGGAGAGCCAGCGTGCGATCCTCAGGCGAACATGCAGTTGTGTCATTGGGAGGTGGAGGGAGGCACTGAGGGTGTCACGGAGGTGATTAGGAGTGAAAGTCCACGAAATGTCTTGTTACCAGAAGTGTGCATCTGTTTGTTACCAAGGCTATTAGCTTAGCGAGTAAACGAAAGCAACGCATGTTGTGCTCGATGTGAGTCGGAGGATATAGGCTTAGTTTCGCAAGAAACGAAATACATGGAAAAACACCGAGAGGCCAGAAACACCAACCGTTGAGCAGAGCGCGGTTGCAGATGCTATATGCGAGGGAACAGGGTCTCGTCCTTCTCAGTCTCTGCATGGCGGCTTCCGTCGCTGGCCTCCGGTCCCTCCTGATTGATCCGTGGTTTGGCGGCAGATTGGCTGAAACGATGGTTGGTGTTCGCGGGGTCGTCGTAAGGTTTGGAAGTGCTCCACCGTCTGAGGGCGCGTCCTCTCGGGGCCTTGGCAGGCCATCTGGTGGGGGAAGGCTCTGGAAGGCTCTGGACGGCCAGAGCGGTGTCTCACATCAGCACGCCTGGCATGCCCGTGGGCGGACTGCCAAGAGAGGCGGCGCACCCAAAAGCATCCGTCTGCACCTCTGGCCGCTGCTGCGGGGGCCCCCTGGCTCGGGGCGCCCGAGGCTCAGAGGCCCGCCAGGACGTCTTCCCGGCGCTGCGGATATGTGCTGGAGTTGCTTGGGGCCCTGCTGACGCAAAGGGTGCGCATCGATGAAGCACCCAGCGGGCGACACAGTTCGATCCGTAGCCATTCTGGCTCAGGCCGCTTGAGGGTCGGGGTGTCCGGCGGCCCTCGGCGGCGCTGTCAGAGTCGCTGCGTTGTCCCACACGCATGGTTAATGGCGGTGGGCCGCTCGAGATCCGCAAGTGTGGGCCAGTGCACGGGTTGCCTTCAGTTTCCAGCCTTCCAGCCAGCCATGAGCTCGACGAGGCCTCTCAGGATTTGGCCAGGCTGAGAAAGGCCAGCACCATATGTTTCGGCACCCATGGGCAAGGCAGCAGGATAGGTCAGCTGCACGAGCTGGATGCGACCCTCGGAGAGGGTACCCTCGGAAAGGTCCACATGGCGTCAAGAACGTCAGGCAAGAGTTGCGTGGTGAAGGTAATTGATGCCGAGGCTGCCCGAGATGTCGGACTCCGCCAAAACCAAATCAACCTTCATTCTGAACTGGACCATCCACACGTGGTTCGCATCCACGAGACTCTCATGGACGAGAACACCTGGTACATCGTTATGGAATTCTGCTAAGGGGGAGAGCTGTAGATATCGGAGAGTGGCGAGTCTGAGGAGACTGCATTTCACGTTGTCGCGCAGTTAATGCTAGCGGTGAAATATCTAAACCACCACAACATCGCAACCAGGGACATCCAACCCAACATTAAAACGACTTCGCCGCACCGCCGACCCCTTGGGGTCTCCTAGGTATCCGAGGTGTCGCCGCGGGGTAGCGAAGTCATGTATATGCAGCATTGGAAGTTTCCAAGGGGTGGCATCAGTGGCGGCCACCGAGGATGGGTAGCAACAGCAAGGCTCCATGAAGATGTTCGGTGAAGGGTTTGCTCGGGGCTGCGTGTGCGAGTGCGTGCATGCGTTGTTACGTGCGCGTGCGTGTGTGTGCAAGTGCGTGTGTGTGTGTGTGTGTGCGTGTGCGTGTGCGTGTGTGTGTGTGTGTGCGCGTGCGTGTGCGTGTGCGCGTGTGTGCGTGTGTGCGTGTGTGCGTGATCGTGTGCGTGTGCGTGTGCGTGTGCATGTGCATGTGCGTGTGCATGTGCGTGTGCGCGTGTGTGTGCGCATGCGCGTGCGTGTGCGCGCGCGCGTGCGTGTGCGCGTGCGTGTGCGCGCGCGTGCGTGTGCGCGTGCGTGTGCGCGCGCGTGCGTATGCGCGTGCGTGTGCGTGTGTGTGTGCGTGTCGCGTGCGCGTGCGCGTGTGCGCGTGCGTGCGCGCGTGCGCGTGCGCGTTCGCGTGCGTTCGCGCGCGTGCGCGCGCGCGTCCGCGTGCGCGCGAGTGTGTAGGCGTGCGCGTAGGCGCGGGCGTGGGCGTGCGGCGTGTGCGCGTGGGTTTCCGTGTGCGTGTGCGCGCGCGCGTGTGAGCGCGTGCGCGCGTGCGCGTGTGCGCGCGCGCGTGTGCGCGCGTGCGCGCGCGCGCGCGCGCGTGCGCGCGTGCGCGCGGGGCGGGGAGGGGCGCGGACGCCGCCCAGGGAAGCCCGTCGCCGCGCGCGGGTCGCGCGGAGAACTGGGGGCCGCCAGCGAGCTCCGAAGGCATCGGGGGGGGGGGGGGGCGCGGCCGACCCCGCGGGCAACCACCGCGCGCCGAAGGCGCTCCAACTCTGGCGCGGCGCGCTCACGCGGCACGCACACACACACACACGCACACGCACGCACACACACACACACGCACACACACGCACGCACACGCACAGACACCGCACACCATAACACACCGCGCACCACACACCAAACACCGCACACCACACACCGCACACCACACACCACACACACACACACACCGCACCGCACAACACGCACCCCGAACCACGCACCACACACCGCACAACAAACAACACTCATACCACGCACCACAGAACACACAACATACAATATACAACACAGCACATACGACACTTAACGCACACTACATAACCCAGAAACCAGGACCCATAATACCGAACACACACCACACATCGCATAGCACACAGTACACATAACATACCCGCCGACGGCAGCGGCGAAGTCGAGAATTTTGAGTTCCCGGCAGCCACCATCGGCGACAAACATCTTATGGACGAGCAAAACTGCCGTCCAGCTTCCAGGAATTTCGACGCACATGGTTCTGGCGCGGCGACGTTGAAGGAGATTTCGACAAAGCTTGACATTGGAAGCCTCATTGGGGGGGGGCGCGGTTCACAGAGCCCGAGATCATGGAGCTGTTGCAGCACGCTGATTCAAACTTGGGATGGAGCGATTGATTACGAGGAGTTCATGGCAGCAGTAATCGGCCCACGATGCGCCAGCCGCGCAATCACTTTGACCGTCGGAGTTTCGCATTGCGAAGTCTTCTCGCGACAGCTGAACAGCGCGCCCTAGCGCGCAATTGATTCAACGGCACGTCAACAACGGCATCGAGATCATGACAGGCGAAATGGCGCCAATCGTTGCGACTTCCGTCGGCGTGGCATTGGTCGGCGGCCAGGTCCTGCTCGCGAGCCCTGGGACATTTGAATCGACTGCGTAAGCTAAGAGTGATTAGTTAGTTTTTTTGTTTTTCTTTCTCTGACACTCCTCCCCCAACATCCAAGCTAGTTTTCGCAGAGGAGGCGACCCCTCCTCGGCGCGGGTTTGGCCGGGTCGGCGCCAGGGGGGGCCGTCGAACCAGCGCTGCAGAAGACGCCGCTCTAAACGAGATGTGACTCGCTGCCCCGCGGCGCTGCCGACTTCGCGCTTCAGTCTAGCCAGCGGTTGCTGCGACAACGAGATCACGCGCGGGCCCCGCTAAGCACGCTGGGCGAAGCCGACCCCTCGCCCCCCCCCCCCCCCCCCCCAATCGGGGGGGGCACGGAAGAAGCGCGGCGAGACAAACCAGCCGCGCGTAAGATGCTTGGCAGAAAATATTGTAAGCGCAGATGCCACATCTCGAGGACAGCGACTGGTGATTGTCGGTGCCGTCTCGGGACCTCCTCGATCACCTGCGCCATCGTGCGGGTCGGCGCGCCTGGGGGGGGGGGGGGGCACGTTGTCTCGCGCTGCCGCGTCGGTCGGCGGCTTCGGATATGTTCCCCAGAGCTGCGCTGGACACTTGTAGCGGCAGCTTTCTCGTTGCCGTGGAGACCAATGCCAGGGGGCGCGTTGCTT